AAAAAAAAAAAAAATTCTATGGAAGAACACAAAGCCTCACCTCCACCTAAGGTACTGCCAGAGCAAGAATGTGGTTTTATCATATTTATGCACTATGACAGAGATAGAAAAAAAAATCTGTAAATAGAGGACCTATGTTAAAAATGAAAATAAGTTGTTATTTCTAGGCAAAAGTTTAAAAAGTTAAAGGAAAAATTGGGTGTCACTAATGTTGCTAAATTGTACACTTGAAAAGGTTTAAATGGAAAATTTTATATTTTACTACATTAAAAAAAGTAAAAAAAATTGAGTAGAAAGATGATAACTGACAAAACATCCTAGACACAGGTATGGAAATGAAGACTAGAGCATCACCAAGTCCACTACTATGACACAAGCCACATTAAGGAATTATAGAAAATCATTTACAGCAGAAATCAGTCTGGAAAATTAGAACTAATGGATTCAACTCTTTTGATTATGAAGTTTCTTCTTCTGTTTGTTTTTTTTTTTAAAACAGAGTCTCACTCTGTTGCCCTGGTAGTGCCATGGCATCATCATAGCTCACAGCAAATTCAAACTCTTGGGCTCAAGTGATCCTCCTGGCTCAGCCTCCCAAGTAGCTGAGACTATAGGTGACTGTCACAATACCCAACTAATTTTTCTATTTTTAGTAGAGATGGGGTCTTGCTCTTGCTTAGGATAGGCTTGAACTCCTGAGCTCAAGACATCCTCATGCTTCAATCTCTCAGAGTACTAGGATTGTAAGTTTGAGCCATGGTGCCCTGCCTGATGATGAATATATAACAATTATTTATTGAAACCGGCTTTAAAGGTTTCAAAGTACATTCAAGCAGTTCTGGCTTTGCAGTAAAAATACCACTCATGATTTTCTCAAAAGACTTCAGAACCTATCCACTTTTGTAATTATTAAGATCACAAAAGGAGTTTTTGCTAGCCTTTCAAGTTTAAGAAATCAGTGAAGTTTAAATTGTGAGCTTTTAACTGTGTTGGTGAAAAAAGTGCAAGAAGCACTCAGTAGGATAAAGCCTTAAGACTGTAGGCCAAACAACTGGGTTTCATCTAACTATGAAGTATAATGCTCCTAGTTACAAGATATGATCTATAGCTTTTATATGAAATTATTAGAAAATAATTCCAAAGGCACTTTAACAATACAAATTTTATTAAAAAAATAAGTAATAACATCAAAACTGTTCAGCAAATCTATATTCAATGTAACCAAAATAAACAAACACCAAATTAAAAAAAATATACATCTGTATGTATGGGCAAGAAACAAGTGCATTTTTGGTCCCAATATTTTCTTGAATATATTATCTTTATCCAAAGGAATTACATTAATGGCTAAGAAGATATTATGTTTTAGATGTATAGAAATGTAACTTTAAAATTTAAGGTCTGTAATAATAGTTTTTGCCAACTTTATGTCTTTGAACTTATAATCCCTAGGATAATGTTAACGATAGGCCAGCAAAAGACACCACAAAATATCTAATGTTCTGAACAGGTATCAAGTTAAGAAGCCACCAATAGGTAGTTACATGAAATATATAGAGAATTCTAAGAAATTCCTTGGAGCTCTTAACACACACACACACACACACACACACACACACCAAACACAAAACAAATGCTATAGAGAAGAGCACAAAAGGAGACGTAATGAAATGGACATCGATACATTTGGTGAAAAACAACAGAAAAACTGAGCCATAAAAAAAATTTAAAAAAAATTAAAAATCTAGGCGGCACCTGTGGCTCAGTTGGCAGGGTGCCGGCCCCATATACCCAGGGTGGCGGGTTCAAATTCCAACAATAACAACAACAACAAAAAATAGCTGGGCGTTGTGGCAGGCGCTTGTAGTCCCAGCTAATCAGGAGACTGAGGCAAGGTAATCGCCTATGCCCAGGAGTTGGAGGTTGTGTGATGCCACGGCACTCTACCGTGAGCGATAAACTGAAACCATGTCTCTACAAGACAAAAAAATAAATAAATAAAAAATTAAAAAAAATAAAAATCTGAGTATCAATATTGTTAAAAAATTCCTAAGATTAATACTGGATAAAATTTTATATAACAATATAACTTTAACTTTGGAACTGTAATTTTAGAAATTTTGCTTTTCCAAGAACATAAAGACCATTCTTGGTTCCTTACATGACCAGTATTTTTATATTCCTCAGACTGGATGCATGCTAGAGGAATATTAAAGGGCAGTATCCAAATTTAAATTGATAAAACTTTAATTCGGATGTTTAAGTATTGATCTGATGGGCTTTTCTTGGTTAGAATTGATCTATAAGCTCAAGATGAAAAGCCAAAGCCCCCAAAGGGAAGTTGTGCTCAATTTGGTGGGCCTTGAGGTCATCTCTAGCCAAATAAACATCAGCCTTATGGGAGGCCAGTCAGATAGGAAGAGACTCTCCCCAAGATCTGATTTCTTAAGGCCACAAACTAGAAGAGGTCTGGCAGTCATATAATTCACATTCCTTAAAAAGAGAGAATAGGCATCAGTCATGTCCATCAAAGGAGGACACTTGCCAGGAATACCCTGGACATTTTTTGAAATTTCTGTGTTGCTTCTGCATCCGAAAAATATGAAAAACAGAACAATGACAGACAAGAAATGCAAGAAAAACAGCTATTGACCTAAAAATGTAAGCCTTATAAGAAATTAAGAAAGCAGACAAAACAGACAGAAAAGATGAACAGCCGTATTGTTTAGAATGTAATATTGTGAAGGTAAGTATAGCAGATAAGAATACAAATTGTTTTAAGCAAAATGAGAAAAGACCACAGCAACAAAAGTTATTTTTGGAGAGCTGGCTGGAGGAGAAAAAAGGATTAAAAAAACAGGTTAAGATATGTTAACCTGACATAAAGATAAGGTGGAAGAATCTAATGCCATCTGAAAGCTGAAAAGAGCTGATGATTAGAGCTAGTGTCATGAACTTGGCTGTTTAATCGCCTTCGTGTGAGAAAACACTTCAGAACTCTGAACTCAGGAAATTCCAACTTGTCTTGCACCAGGTTGCACGAGCTCCACAGAGCAGGAATCTATTTCAACAAGCAGCTTTAAAAAAAAAGTAAGAACAAAAAATACTTTAATATTTTTCATTTCTATTAATGATACATTTAAAAAATACAACAGTGCTAAAATCCATCAAAGGAAAATGCACTGAATGAAAATTAAACTTACGTAGAAATGGGTTCAGAAGTTGAGGTACTTGCAGCAACTAAAATTGGAAGAAGAGTTTTACATTTAAAATAGTATATATGAAGAGTGAGATTTTCATTTTAATACATAAGAGCCCATACTGTGGCTGATCAAAAATACTGGAATAAATATCAGAAATTCAAAGTAAAATAAGTACATATACGTACCATCCTCTATTATAACTTGGCATGTATGATTTTTACGTTGACTTAAGTGCTTAGCCATACTATCTAAGCCAGAAGAGTCAGTTAGGAAATCACATTTAAGGCACACTAGAGTAATGCCCCTGAGGAAATAAGAAGACAGTAAATAGAGGGTTATTATCTCTTATGGAAATCTGTACATGAGTACAATAATTATTTTTCCATACAATAACTGGATTTGCATTTTATGTATGACTGCCATTTCTCAATTTTGTTACATAAACTTGATATACCTAAAATGGTTCTCTTGAAAATGGTACCATAGCCCATGTCTAAACTATGCCAACATGTAATGCTTTATCAATTGTTCTCTCTCAACTTGTTGCTAAAAGCTAGGTTTGGAAAGACCCAAAACCCAGTCTTAGCTCCCATAACATTTTCTGAAACATATGCAAGTCACAATCTTTCCATGACTTTGCCCACCCGCAAAGCAAGGATGTAACATTCATTCATTCAAATATATAAGTATATATTTGCTGAGGACCTTTTGTACACATGTTGTACTACTGGGTACTGTGAATACAATAGTAAATAAAAAGAGGTACAGATTGTGGAGCCTATAATCTAGTATCTTATTTAATGAGGACAAAATTATAAAAGACATGTGAAGGTTTCTTTTTTTTTTTTTTTTTTGTTTTTGTCTCACTTTGTGACCCCCAGTAGAGTACTGTGGCATCATAGCTCACAGCAACCTCAGATTTACGGGCTCAAGTGATTCTCTTGCCTCAGCCTCCCCAGTACCTGGGACTACTGGCTATTTTTAGAGGCAGGGTCTTGCTCTAGCTCAGGCAGGTTTCGAACTTGTGAGCTCAGGTGATCCACCTGAGTTGACCTTCCAGAGTGCTGGGATTACAGGTGTGAGCTGCTGTGCCCAGCTCATGACATGTGAAGGTTTTAGAAAATTATGTAATTATTGGGTGGTGCCTGTGGCTCAGTGAGTAGGGTGTCAGCCTCATATACCAAGGGTGGTTGAGTGCAAACCCAGCCCTGGCCAAACTGTAACAACAACAACAAAAAATTATGTAATTATTATCAGTTTATTAACAATGCATACATATGCTTTTAAAGTTCATCATATACTTTAAACTTAAATATTTTACCTGTATTAGAATAAAAACCAGCACTTTAGATTTACTTCTCTGAGGCCCTAGTCTTAATAGCCTGTTGTATATTTACACCTATTTGTCACTCTTGCACATTAAAAACTATCTTCCTAAAACTGAAATCATGTACTTTCCCCTCAAAAATAATACCTCCTGGGTGGCACATTCAAACCCAGCCCTGGTCAAACTGCAAGAAAAAAAATAGCCAGGAGTTGTGGTGGGTGCCTGTAATCCCAGCTACTCGGAAAGCTGAGGCAAGAGAATTGCCTAAGCCCAGGAGTTGGAGGTTGCTATAAGCTGTGACTCCACAGCACTCTACCAAGGGCCACATAGTGAGACACTGTCTCTTAAAAAAAAAATACCTCCTGACTGGTCCTTAGGATGTCATTTTCCTAACTAATATTGAGGCTCAAATTATAGACATCTCTGTTTCTCTTTTTCCTTTAAACATTGAATATTTCATATACTTTATAATATTAACAAGTTATTGAGCACTTACTGTGACAGTCTGAGGGTTTCAGATATAACAACTGATCTAAATCTTATAACAACCCAGAGAGGACGGTGCTATAGTTCCCACTTTTTTTTTTTTTTTTTTAAACTGAGGACCAGGTCAAGGATTAGTATCCTACCAAGGATAGGACAGGTCTGACACTGAGTCCTTTGATTCTAGAGCAGTGTTTTCTTTCATTTATTTTCTTCTTCTTCATTTTATTATTATTTTTTTTGACACTGAGTCTCACTCTGTTGCCCTGGATAGAATACTGTGATGTCACAGCACACAACCTCAAACTCCTGGGCGCTAGAAATCCTTCTGCCTCAGCCTCCCCAGTAGCTGGAACTAAAGGCACCCACCAACATGCCTAGCTAGTTTTTCTTTTCTTTCTTCTTCTTCTTTTTTTTCTTAGTAGACATGGGGTCTTGCTCTTGCTCAGAAGCAGCTGGAACTAAAGGCACCCACCAACATGCCCAGCTAGTTTTTCTTTTCTTTCTTCTTCTTTTTTTTTTTTCTTAGTAGACATGGGGTCTTGCTCTTGCTCAGAACTAGCTGGAACTAAAGGCACCCACCAACATGCCCAGCTAGTTTTTCTTTTCTTTCTTCTTTTTTTTTCTTAGTAGACATGGGGTCTTGCTCTTGCTCAGGCTGGTCTTGAACTCCTGAGCTCAAGCAATCCTCCTGCTTCATCCTCCCAAAGTGCTGGGATTACAAAGTGTAAGCAACCACACAGACTGGCCTTTTCGTTCTTTCTTTCTTTTTTTTTTTTTTTTTTGAGGCAGAGTCTCATTTTGTTGCCCTTGGCCGAGTGCTGGGGGGTCATCATAGCTCACAGCAACTTCAAACTCTTGGGCTCAAGCAAATCTCTTGCCTTGGCCTCTGGAGTAGCTGGGACTACAGGCACCTGCCACAATGCCCAATTAGTTTTACTTTTTTTCTATTTTTAGTAGAGATAGGGTCTCGCTCTTGCTTGGGCAGGTCTCTAACTCTTGAACTCAAGCAATCCACCCACCTCAGCCTCACAGAGTGCTAGGATTACAGGTGTAAGCCACTATGTTGGCCTGTTTTTTTTTTTTTTTTAAGAGACAGAGTCTCATTTTAACACCCTCGGTAGAGTGCCATGACGTCACAGCTCACAGCATCCTCCAACTCCGGGCTTAGGCGATTCCCTTGCCTCAGCCTCCCAGGTAGCTGGGACTACAGGCGCCCACCACAATACCCAGCTATTTTTTTTGGTTGCAGTTTGGCCAGGGCTGGGTTCGAACCCGCCACCCTACCCACTGAACCACAGGCACCACCTGCTTGGCCTGTTTTTGTTTGTTTGTTTGTTTTGAGGGACAGCGTTTCACTCTGTTGCCCAGGCTAGAGTGTCATGGCCTCAGCCTAGCTCACAGTAACCTCAGACTCCTGGGTTCAAGTGATCTTCTTGCCTCAGTGTCCTGAGTAGCTGGGACTACAAAGTAACTGTCACACCACCTGGCTAATTTTTCTATTTTTTAGTAGAGACAGGGTCTTGCTCTTGCTTAGGCTGGTCTCAAACTCCTGAGCTCAAGCAACCCTACTGCCTTAGCCTGCCAGAGTGCTAGGATTACAGGCATGCACCATTGCACCCAGCTAGAGTCTAGTTTTGTTATTGTTGTTTTTTTTTTTTTTGAGACAGAGTGAGTCTCACTATGTCACCCTCAGTAGAGTGGCATGGCTCACAACAACCTCAAACTCTTGGGCGTAAGTGATTCTCTTGCCTCAGCCTCCCAAGTAGCTAGGGCTACAGGCACCCACTGCAATGCCCAGCTATTTTTTATTGCAGTTGCCATTGTTGTTTTAGCTGGTCCGGGCTGTAACCACCCATAGCACAGTGGTTACAGCACCAGCCACATACACTAAAGCTAGCAAACCCGCTAGCCTATAACCACTGTGCTATGGGTGCCGAGCCTAGAGCCTAGTTCTTTTTTTTTTCTTTCGCAGTTTTTGGCTGGGGCTGGGTTTGAACCCACCACCTCCAGTATATGGGGCCAGCACCCTACTCTTTGAGCCAGAGGCACCACCCCCAGAGCCTAGTTCTTAAACATGATGAAGGTCACTATTAAATCAGTTTTAACTACCACAGTAACCATAACCACATAATCAGTCTATGTGCCTCAAGCAACTACAACTTACTTTGTATATACCCCCCACATTGATCTTCCATTCTGTACCTTTGACTGTATTGAAAATACTAATGATTTCTTTTCTTTTTTTTTAGATGGAGCCTCAAGCTATCCCCCTGGGTAGAGTGCCATGGCATCATAGCTCACAGCAACCTCCAACTCCTGGGCTCAAACGAGTCTCCTGCCTCTGCCTCCCAAGTAGCTGGGAC